CACCTCACTACACCTGACCTCACCACACCTGACCTCACCTCACCTAACTTAACAGCAGGCAATGCTACCCGTCAGTTACTGATTGGTGCGAAGAAGTCTACTTGCGCAAACCTAACCCAACCTATCCTAACCTAACCTAACCTAACCTTACCTAATGTAACCTAATCTAACCTAGCCTACCCTCTCCTCGCCTCGCCTCACATCGCGCCGTCTCGCCTCCTCTCACGTCGCACCATCTCGCCTCGCCTCACGTCAAGTCACGTCAAGTAAAGTCAAGTCACGCCAAGAAACTCCAAGTTACGTCACGTCACGTCAGATCACGCCAAGTCACGTCAAATCACTCCAAGTCACGCCAAGTGACGTCTAATCATGCCAATGTACGTCAAGTCACGTCACGTCACCTCACTTCACTTCACGTAACCTCACCTCAACTCACCTAACTTAACAGCAGGGTATTTTACCCCTCAGTTACTGATTGATGCACGCAAGTCTACTGCGCAAACCTAACCTCCCCTAACCTATCCTAACATAAATAACCTAACCCAACCTAACCTAATCTAACCTAGCCTAGCCTCGCCTCACGTCAAGTCACGCCAAGTCACGTCAAATCACGCCAAGTTACGTCAAGTCAGCTCACCTCACCTCACCTAACTTAATAAATCTACAGGTGAAACAGAAAATGGTGTTAATATTTGTCTTTACTGCTATTACGTCTTCATTCAACATTTAGACTTAATATACATTATTCAAAATAAGAAATGAGATTCATAATGTGTATGTATTAACTATCTTAAAATGCATACAATCCCCATTTACCATTTCAACACTACATGTTTCGGCATTATGCTGCCATCTTCAGGTGTATCTGCCATCAACTCTTTCACTGCTTGTCTTTATATGTCCATTTATAAATAATATTAAATTTGTATACGTCCTTATATATTAATAAAGTTTATGTATTTAAAACTTGTTAAAATCCATTATCTCATACGTCATGTTTTAAATTCGTGTGTGTTATTGGTCATCCGAATGGGGCTCGTTCTTCTTATGTTTCTAATGTTGTGTGTAAGTGTATATTATGTGTTATGATGTGTTCCACTCTTGTGGCTGCGTGCGTTGTATCGCTGGATACAATATGAATCAGTGCAACAGGACGCTAAAATATAACATAAGAAATGCGATGCCGGTTTTACACCAAACTTAACCAAACTGTTGATAGCGAGCCATATGCATGTCCGCTGGTGCGACTCCATGGGGGGAAGGAATACAAATCAATCTTTTTCTCTTTACAAATGATTAAATATAAACGAAGTCCGTTGGTGGAAGGCCAACTTTAGCGGATAGAGGGTGTCACGTGGCCAGCGCAAATAATCCGCAAAGCCGTGAATTTCGGTTTTCTAGACCGGAGCCGCTATTTCCTTGAAATATATCTTCGTTTATCCTCACGAAGCTGAGTGGACCCCACTCCAGACCCACTACTACTCAGAAAATCTGGTAGCACCGGAAATCCAACCTGGAACCTCTGGATCTGTAGCCAGGAACTAATACCACTAGACCACAGAGGCACTAACTTCGCCGACAAACGGCCGTTGCTCGGTCGGTATAGTTCGCTTGCGGACTGAAGACACAGAGTTTGTTTATTTGCTGCGTGAAGGCACGTGTCAAAACAACTGGTAACATCAAATCGATGTGTGCTCATGGGTATGGAACTTCTGAAAGTCATCATGTGTTGCCTGGATACTGGGTAGGTTTAGCCACTCCTGTTATATAGATAACGTTCCCTGCATGTTTCGGCCGACATCAGTGGATTCGTGTAGCAAGTTAATATATTAGATTCGTGTATTTTGTGTTCACTGTAGTTGTTTAGCTTAATAAAATTAAATGTGGCAGTTACTAAACTATAAATAACGACTAAAAAATAGAACCTTTACCGTTTCATACTTAGTTTTACCACCGCAACAACAGTACTTTATACGAGGGAGTCAGCAAATAGGCCACAAATGGAAGTAGAACAGCTGTAATAGATGTAATAGGTTTCCTATGTGTATCACTAGGTAGCAGCATAGTCCAGCTTCATGAGAGTCTATGTAACAGACGCGCATATTCAGAGGTTGGTTTCAGTAGTCAAAATAGCGAACTTGCTTGACGAGTGTAATACCGAAGAGTAGCGTTATGTTGTGCGTTTTTGTGGGCAAAAGATCTCAATGCAAAGGATATTCATAAAGAAATGTTTCCTGTTTACGGTGGTAAGCATTTGCCGTTTAATGCGGTTCATAAGTGTGTCAAGGACTTTCGACATTTTCAGATAATGAAAGGATGTGCGGTTTTGGCCGAGGTAACAGTCAAAAGACTTTCATGCTGTGGGTTTCGACACACCGGTAAAGTGATAGAACAAGAGTATCAATGTTGGTGGAGGATATGTCGAGAAGTAAACGTTTTTTTTTTTTAGTTACGAATATCACATGTTTTACGTTTTATATCCATTTGTGACCCATTTACTGATCCTCTCTCCTATGTAAAATTATGAAAATCCTCGATATGAAATGAACATTTTAAATCACAGCGGTAAGTGTACGTAAGCCTGTCGCCTGCTTTAATATTAAAAGCTTCACCATTTTTATGTCGTATGCAGAGAAGGATTAGGACTTCATTTAAACCCTAAGCTGTGATAAAAATGAGGTCCGTAAATGTTATTAAGCGTTTCAAATGAATGATTTATAGAAGTTAAGATAAGTTAGAAGATAATTTAAAAAAATATAAAGAAGCATTGTATCACAGGGCCACATAATTTCGATAAAAAATCACTTAAATTACTTAGAAATAATTTACATGTGTGTATATGTGAGTAAGAATAAAATATGCTTGACAACGATGGACCAGTTGCACCGCCAGTAGCGACGACGCCTCCCAGCGAGTTTTTCACTGCCGGAGCTGCTCCTGCCTATGTTTGCACCCGTGCAATCTGAGGAGGTTCCGTCAGATGTTCGTTATCCCCCAAAACTGACAAGAGAATGTGTGTGGAGGGGGCTGTTTTACGGGTAATTTTCTTTCTCAGAATTTTGAAGGCCCCACAGAAAGCGAGCCTCAAGGCTGCAAACTACTTAACTTTTATATAATTCTGACACTGACAGTGAGTATGATTATGTCAGTAAACATCTATTTCTTCCGTGAAATGTTTTATCTTTATAATGCCAGCGCTATGTACTTCCTGTGAGGCAGGAACCGGATATTCAAATACCACATATAAGTGATTTGTCTTTCAAATATTTAATATTCTGTTCCCCTTCGCGGTAGACCTAAATGTCATGTTTCAATGAGTGAATGTGAAGTTCAAATTTCGGTAAGATACCTAGTTATCCTAACATAATTTCCTTTAACTTGTCCAGAAATGAGATGGTTCAGTCGCTCAAGATCCTTGCTACATATTCCCAGCTCATAATTCATAATAACCCAACAATTCGCTATATAAAATCTCTGCAGCTGACAATATGTCCTTCACGAAAGTATACAGAAGTAACGACAGCAGTTTCAACAATTTCTTCACGTTCATTTACCATCCTATCAGTCGACACTATATATAGTCTCGATACTGACAGCATCGTTAAATAAGCAACCAAGGAATCCACCACTGCGCCCTATAGCTGTTCGGTATAATACATTCGATACTCACACAACATTCCTTTAAGTTCCATTGTAATATCAAGTCAGCAGTACAGAAATTTCCGCTTCTAGCATACTTATAATTGGAATATTTAGAATAGTAAAAAGTCACTCCTAAACAGTGAAATCTCTCTCAAAATTTGCAGATATAGCAACTCGTGTTCTGAAAATGTGGCATAGTTCAGATATTTGGGAACAACGATAACAGGTAAAAACCTAATTCAGGAGGAAATTAAGAGGAGATTGAACTCGGGTAATGCTTGCTACCATTCCCAGAACCTTTTGTCTTCTTGTCTGCAGTCCAAAAACATAACAATTAGAATTTACAAAACTATAATTTTGCCTGTGGTTCTGTATCGGTGTGAAACTTCATCTTTGACATTAAGGGAGGAACACAGACTGAGGGTGTTTGAGAACAGGGTGTTGATGAGAATATTTGGACCGGAGAGAGATGAAATGACAGAAGGTTGGAGAAAACTGCATAATGAGGAGCTTCATAACTTGTACTCTTCTCCAAGTATAATTAGAATGATCAAGTGATGGAGGATGAGGTTGACAGGGCATGTAGCACGAATTGGGAAAAGAGGAATTCGTATAGAATATTAATGGGAAAGCCAGAAGGAAAGAGACGACAGGGAAGACCAAGGCGTAGTGGGTGGACAATATTAGAACTGATCTTAGAGAGATAGGATGGGATGGCGTTGATTGGATAGATCTGGCTTAGGATAGGGACCAGTGGAGGGCTCTTGTGAACACGGTAATGAAACTTCGGGTTCCATAAAATGCAGGGAAGTTCTTGAGTAGCTGCACAATTGGCGGTTTCTCAAGAAGGGCTCAGCTCCGTGAGTGAGTGAGTGAATGAGCAACCTCCCAATCTGTTTCTGCGCCTTTCCCTCAAGATTTTAAAAGCAATTTAACTGGTGACGTTCGAACTTCTATAAAATCGCAGGAATTGATAGAAACAAAATTAAATATTAGAAAGTCCATGCTTTAATTTAATTTAAATGTTTTACAGATTTCATAATACAATTCTTTTCTCGACGTAATTCAAATTTAAAAGAGAAGTATTTCAGTTTATAACCCGAAAGCGACTCGCATGTACTTGCTTCTTGGCTAGTACAGTTGACAGGCTGTTAGATATCCCCAGTAACATCCTTTAACCGCCAGCACTTTTTAACTATATCATAAAATTAAGAAGCACCACCAGGAAAACTGGTCCGTGTATAGAAATACTGGTCACATTTCCAAGTCAATTATTTGTTCTATCGCCGCGAGCGACTGCCATGTAATTGCTCACGTGGAGAGCTTTAAAGCAGATGGAGCCATTACTGCTCGCAGACATGCATGCCGTGCCACATAACATCGAATGAAATCAAAATGGAGTGAATCTGACGCAAGTTTAGGCGTTTTAAAAGCGTTTTAACAGGTACTGTGTTATGTGTGTGGTACCTGAGGATGTTTTTACGTGTTCCTGACGCTGATCGCGCCGTTAAAATGATTCTTATCTTCGTTGCCGCCTCTATTCTTCTTCCAGCGCTGTTTCTTAAACAGATCTTGTGGCTGTTGTTGCTGACGTATGGGAAGCAAGTAACGAGTGAAGAAGTTAGTGAAAAGTCTCACATTCACTTCTGTAAGTAACTTCAAAAATTTATTCAAATGCTTAAGTAGCTTGAAACTAGAATTACGTCACAATAATGCATCGTCTTTAAGTTAAATATAGTGGTCTAGTGGTCAGAGTTCCTGGCTACAGATCCAGAGGTCAGGGTTCGATTCCCTGCGCTACCGGATTTTCTGAGAACTGGGACTAGAACGGGGTCCACTCAGCCTGGTGAGGATAACTGAGGAGCTGTTGAATGAAAAGTAGCAGCTCCGGTGCAGAAAACTGAAATTAACGGCGGTGGGGATTCGTTGCGCTGACCACGCGACTCCCTCTATCCGCTAAAGTTGGCACTAACTTCGCCGACAAGCGGCGGTCGCTCGGTCGGTATAGTTCGCTTGCAGATTAAAGTCACGGAGTTTTTAACTTTAATGTATAATATTCTAATTTACTTGCAGCTGTATTAAAAACAACAAATAAGGAGTTTTGGAAAGTCGACGCTATAAGAGAGAAAAATCACATAGTGGAAGTATTAATAAATTCCACGTTTTAACGTTTTAATGAATAATATTAGGATAAACGTAGCAAGGAGAATTAGATGGGCCGGAAATGTAGCAGGGACAGTTTTACCTTTAAAAGTTTAATATGTCGCAATTTACACGTTTGAACATTCGATTTATGTTTTAAGATTCGTATGGACCAATAACAGACATACAATTCGGTGACATATTTTTACGCTCGCTGTTCATTTTTCCTCTCAAGTAATCCGATATCTAGCCCTTCAGTTCCTACCTCACACTAAACATAAAGTACTTCTGTTACAAAAGAAACTCTTAAGACTGTATCGGGAAACAACAGATGTTTATTCTGAGAAATATGTAAAACACATATATACACTCAGTAATGTCTTCTGTAGTGCAGATAAACAGGAAGCAAACTGTCGTGCTGGGAACTCAAACGTGTGTTTATGTATAATTACATATTAAAACCATTAGACTTGGTTGCTGCTTGTTTCCGTTCTAGCTAAGCACAAACAATACCAAGGCTCTACTAGGTGACACGGCCTATCAGTTACCCCATGTTTATATTGTAGTAGCCTCTGTGTACTATATAAACTAGGAGAAGTGTAGCAACCACCATCAGCACAACATTCATACCGAATTTAGAAGCTTAAAGACGTATTTCAAACTATTAGCTTTAACTGACTCAGGAAACAGATCTGTAGTTAGGAGGAAAACATATCCTTAGGAATCCTAAAACCTTCCGTAAGTCTGCTTGAACATGAAATGAGAAGAGCTAAGAAGAACTAGGTTTCGGTGCCTTTCCAGACAAAGCCCTATGATCGTCACAAATTGTTCGAGCGATCCACAAAACATTCATGGAATTGCTGTGCTGAACTGCAGGAGTTTCTTTATCAGATCTGAGGTTCTCAGGGCGATGAGTATGGGGTGTGACGCCGTCTAGTCTGGTACAAGTCTGTCTTTATCTTCACGATCGAAGTCTAAGCGCTGTTTGATTGTTGCTTATATTGTTTGCCATAACACCCTGAAGACGGAGGGAGCATATTCCTACAAAACTTCGGCTGTACCAGACTACACGGTGTAGCGTCCGTAGAAGATAGTAGTCTTCGGCCTTTTTATGTCAAAGAGATTGTCCATAAGGAATCTTCTCCCCTGAAGCAGTCAACTGAAGGTGTGTACGAGTATTCAGTTTTCGGAACGTTTACGCCAGATCATTCATCGGAAGATAATCAGATGCTAGCAGACCACAGTATTTTCTGTAATGCGATTTATGGCCCAATAAGAAACCACAATGTTAGAACATACTTCATTTACCCTACTCTGATGCTTCTCATGTTTTCGAAATTAAAAAAAAAAATCATTTGTAAAGTTCGTAACGTTATTATTTCGAATTAGGTAAGCTGTTAGTAGCTGAACTGATTAGGATCGAATTTTACGTCGATAAATAAATAACCTGAATACGATTATAAGGCCTAATCTAGGTAATATCCCAGCATTTTCTTAGAACAACTGAGGAAAAACACGAAAACGTGTCATGACAGCCAATGTCTCATTCCAGATTCTCAGTGAGCACTCAATGAACACGAATCTAAAGCATTACCAATCCGTCCGGCGTCAAGGATCGCGCACGGTATACAACCAGAAGGTGAGTACTTTGAAGTCCATTACACTCAGTTAAGGATACTCAATAACGCACATTTTACTCGTTGAATCAGACGGATCACATACGAACCTCATTTTTGGCGGGATTTTGTATCGACACGGCCATTTTAAACAGACACTGCGAGCATAACGTTGCCGTGACTGTGGCCGGGGAACTCTGCCCTGTCATCCGGTTCCTGTCTCACACGGCAGCGCTGCCATTTCCATAAGAAAACGTCCCTTGCATTTTTACTTTCCGGATATTCCTCGTCCTTGAGACCTCTAATTTCACGGAGTGTTGAATCGTGAATTGTATGTGTATTAATTGTTCATCGCTGTGTCTGATTCCCTAATGAAATTTGTGCATGGATTTATATTGGAAGTGGAAACTGAAGCAATGTTCAGAAATTGTCGGCCTCTTTGTCACGAGGCAGTGGGATCACTGACAATGCCTCTGTTACGTAATTATTTAATTTCCGGTTTTAGAGCGAGTGTGGGAGCAGCGGTGGCAGACCGGTGGCTGCAGCCTACGTTCACCCCAACAGGTTTTCATTATCCACTGGGACCCCGTAGGTACACAAAGCACTCCTCTGGTAACAGCTTTCGTATCACGAACTCCGTTTATTGCTTAGGGCGAGAGCCAGATGTGTGCAGACTTATTTAACTCACTGACTACCCACCTATTTCCTATCTAACTCACTAATTTACTAATTTTATTTAATCGTGGGAAGAGAACAGTACTTTAGCTCGTCAAGAAATTCCCTACTTTTATGAAACCAAAAACGGCCTAATATTGCATTCATAGAACACGAATTTTTGGACTTCGGCCATCGTCCGGTGTTCTAAAGAACAATAAGGAACACGACGTTTCGGAAAATTGATCAGTTTCCATTCATATACGAGGGGGTGGGAGATATATGAGGACGGAAACAGATCCATTTTTAGAAACGATGTTTTCTTTAATGTTTTTTTAGAATACGAGGCGATGGACAAAGTCCAAAAACCCAGTAACCTTGAGTGTCACACTCCGTCGTCAGAACACTTCAGAATCTCTTCGCCTTTGGAGTCCAAATTCTGAATCATATTTCTCTACTGAAGTGTTTTCAGAACTTTACATTTGTAAAGACTTCATCGCGCGCAACCTTCCTAACTTCGTGGGTGTATAGCTTTTTGAGTTCTTCATTGTTAAAATCGACATATTTAAAAACGTTCTTTCTTCTCGGATACAATGCCATGTTAAAATGTAAAGGTATCCCTGTAACAGGCCGTGAAGGCCCATAGGGTTGTGAGACGTCGAGGCTCCCACATTTTCTGTAGACCATCGGCTCACAGATAGCGGTGAGGTTGTCAGCTTTACGCGCCGGCCGCCCTTTACCCCAGCAGGAAGATTCCTGATACTCAGTTCTGTTAGAGGCTAAGTAGAACCCAGGGCCACAGTGTGGCTGGAAGGATTAGGTAAATTAAAGAATCCAATGACCGCATCGGGATTTGGTCCTGCGACCTTCCGGCTTGTAGCATAGTGCCTCAGCCAACTACACTACCGCGTGCTCATTTAATCGAATCGAATGGTGTAAGGAAGCGGTCGTGGCCTAACTGGAGGCAGTATTCAGGTATTTCACTGGAGGGTTCCCACTACTGCCAACTTCCTACCCAGGCGACCCAGGTTCGAGTCCATGTCAGGTAATGTTGGATCTGTGGTGTATTGGCACTGGTGTAGGTTTTCTCCTAGTATTTCGGTTTCCCCTGCCAATTCTCATTCCATTCATTTATTGTTCTGTCACCGACACTGTATATAGTTTTGATACTGACAGCGTTGTTAAACAACAAATTTAAAAAATCTTAACACTTTTAATTGCATGCGATATATATCCCACGCATGCGCACACATCTTAACTCCCTTGAGGAGTCTGACAGTGAAGAGTGTAATGTTCCACATTACTCGTTTCCCTTCAGCCTTCTGGTAATGCCAATAAAAACAGATGAAGTTAAATATCTAAATAATCCATTAAGTCTGCTTATGCCAGTTTTAGCCAGATTCTTCAAGCGAATGTAAGACAATATTTGTGTCTCCTATTTCTTTCGCAGAAATGAGAAGCCACGCGTGGAATTTTATGAGTAGTTGCAATCAATTACCATTGTGACACACAGTTACGAAATAAACAACACACTGGTTATAAGAACGACAAAACAACACTGACCTCTTGCGCCCTTGCATAGCACTGAGACGGGATGTGCTAAGTAGGGACATGACATATTGAGGTCACGGGCAGAAAGCTTCGCCGACTGGGCTCTGTGCCTTCACAAACATCTGACATCCGCTGATGCTGGGGCAACACAGTCACAACTAAGTGAGAGGTTATGAGTTAGAGCGCAGCTGCGCACATACATGTACGCAACAATTCTGACTCCTTTGCTCCCTTTTCCTTAATTATCTCGTAAACCGTCCGATTTAGGGAAGTTTACTCGGTTTTCTCTGCCACGTTTGCTAGAACCATTTTTCTCTCCGACAGATATCTACAGCACGTTACAGACATGCGNTTGTATTGTTGTAGGCTTTGCCTAGCAACAGCTGTTTACTCGCCATTGCTAAGCAATGATACTTTCATTGTCACATTTGTTTGAATGTGGGCAGTTCCCACAAGGTCTTCATGTAAATTGTTACTTTCATTCAGTGTCAACCAAAAATGGAATTTGTCTACAAGTCTCAATGTGGGAGCCTCAACGTTTCACAACCCTCTGGGCCTTCATGGCCTGTTACAGGGATAGCTTTACTTTTTACTTTTACTTTACTATAAGTCTCTTAACAAAGCTCTCCTATATGAAATTTCATGACAATCCATCCAGTGATTTTAAAGTTGATATGCGTGGACAGACGGACAGATATGGCAAAGACGATACAGGGCGTTTTTGCAACTTTTATTTGTGACCGCGCATAAAAAAAGGGGGTAGAGGTGGGAAGATGAAGCACTGTGAGTTACTGTGAGTTACTGTGAGTTACTGTCGGTTTGAAGACTGTCCTATAAACGAAGTACGGAACATTTTATTGACTTGTTTGCGCATATTCCGGTTTCGTTGTTTAACGACGTCTAATCAACTGTGTACCCGGGATACGTATCTTCTGATTAGCGACAGACCGTGAATGGCGAGTGTGTCACGACGGTGGTAACTCTTTTCACGTTCCTTCACTGCCTTCATAAAAATGTAGGCTTATGACGTCAACGCGCTCTCTGTTAAGTGTTCGAGTGTATTACATATGTCTCCATTATCAAGTTTTAAATCAAAGGATCCAGTTCCATGAAATCTGATACGAACTCTAAGCCATTGGAGGCATATCTCGAAATTCTTTATATTTATAACTCTGGGTTCGATTCTCGGAGCTACCAGATTTTCTGAGAAGTAGTTTGTCTCGAATGGGGTCCACTCAGCCTCGTGAGGATAATTGAGGAGCTATTTCAAGGAAATAGCGGCTCCGGTCTAGAAAACTGAAATTAAGGCCGTGGGGATTGTGGTAGCATAACTCCAGGATTCAGCATCGTTGGACGCAATCCTGAACAATTTTAACCCAGCTACCATCATGTTTTACCTCCATAAAATCCATATTAATATTTTCTTCCCACATAGACCATAAGTCTCAGCCTTTTATTACTGCGTTTAAAAAAATATTTTCCCATCAAATTCTGTACGTATTCCTTTTCTCTAGTCTAAGTTGGCNACGTGGCCGGAAATGAGTCATAAAAGTAATCCGGGTTCTTTATTGAACGCTTCAATTCAGAGTATGCAGGCATACATATTGGCACCTGTCGCAGTGACTAAAGACGGTGTTCGGATTGGTAATTGGATTTATTGTTTATTTACAGGCCGTAACTACAAATAATTATAAGACTGTTACTGATTTTCACACTACAAAGCACTCCACACTAATCTCTTAAGCCTCTCTGCACTAGTCTTCATGGATTTATAACAAAGAAACTATAAAAGTCTCACTGAATCACACTCTCCAATATCACTGTACTACAGCACACATAAAGTCTTCACAGGCTGACTTGTGTACTCTTCTGTACCCCTAGTTACAGTACACTCTGAATTTACAGCTCATGGCTGTCGTTATATAGCCGCGGAACGGACATGGACCTAAAGTAGACAAATATCAATGATCGCTATCCAGCCAATCTATTGGCGCGTCGGCTTCCTCTATTATTGCGAGCTGGACCGTGTTTACAGAGCTGTTGCTTGGTAATGCGTTGACCAAATCCGTTACAATATAGACGATGTTTGGAATGTTAATCGTATTTATTGAACACTTATACAACTCGTTACTATACTACAGAACTCACTGTCACACACACACTGCAGTTTTCAGACTGTTACAGTCTCCACTAGCCGTTTCTTGGTAGCGGATTTCAACGGCGAACATTTCCCTTCTTCTGTGTTCCCGAACGGTCTCTGGCCTCAGCTACTAGCTTCTCACAGCAACAGCTCAAAACGACTGAACTGTATAAGTCTTTTAATTAACTCACTAACTCACCATCCACCTCACTGACTCACTCACTCCTTACTCACCTGTCTCGGCAAGGGCCGAGCAGAAAACACCGCTTCCCATTGCTGTTGTATCCTCTTGTTGCCGTGGAATTCTTGCGTTTGTGTTGCTTATCTCGGGGTCGATGCCTAGCAACGGTCTACATGCCACAATACGCCATGCTGGTATTACTGACTATAAACGACGAGTAACCTCCAATGAAATGATGTTAAAATAGAGTTCGTAATGTGGTTGAAAATTTGCTGTTAATAAACAGGAACGAAAACAAAAATATTCTGCTTTTTTTTATTATTATTATTTACGTCAATTTACAATCTACTTGACCACTGTAAGTAATAAGTAAATGAGATGGGTGCTTATGTCGTGAAGGCGGCAGCTGCCCAGTGGCAGTACTCTACCTTTTAGTTACATAAGTCTTCTGGCCANAATATTTTGGAACGTCTGTTGACGTCAGAGGCAGGACAGAG